TTGCAGTCCCTAGGCAGGTGATCGGGGCCCAAGGCCAGAGACCCAAATAGTAGTATCCTAGGCAGCAGTCCTCCTACCTCAGCCTCCTGAGTGCTGGGATCCCAGGCATGCACCACCACACCCATCTTCAAGGTGTCCTTTTAATTTTTGTACTTACCTCAGGGCAAACCAGTAACACTTGGTGGACCACGGAGGTCAGCCAGCTATGGACTTGGGAGAAGAACTGCTGAGTCACATGACACTCTTGTCCTCATCTTTCCTGGAAAATGCCAGGGGCCCTGCCAGCATACGGCCCAGCTGGGTGGCGCTCCATGGTAGAGCAGTTGGCTGATATGCACAAGGCTCTGGTCCACCCCCAGCACTGCTCAGATCTCTATGGAAAGATCTCTCTCTAGCTCTAGCACCCTACCAGCAACATATCAGAGTAACAGGAGTGAAGGAGCACCATTGTTGTTTTAATTTACATTTCCTGTTACCCTCATCTTGGAAAACTACTGTGAGTTTCCAGTGATAGTCTCCTAATGCATCATCTTGCCATAGGTTTATCTTCCTGACTCTGCTTTATGATTATTGTCTGAGACTACCTTCAACAATGAGGGTACTTTGAAATTAGGCATTTAAAAAATTCATCTATATTTTCATATATGTACAATGTTCAGTCTCTAGATTTGTACGAGTGACTCTCTAAAGTGCAAAATTCTGTTTTAAAAATAAGCTAGTCTTATTTTACAATAAGGTTTTTTAAATAATACAAAGCTCTGCTTTTATTTATTTTTTTAGACAGGGTCTTTCTCAGGCTGGCCTCAAACTCACGCTGTCACTCAGGCTGGCCTTGGGCTTGACTCACAATCCTCCCTCCTGCCTCAGCCTCTGCAGTGCTGGGATAGCAGATATGCACCAGAACCTGGCTTGGCAAACGCATTATTAATGAGCTGCAATTCCCCGAGAATGATACTCTCTAAAGAAGAGCCTATGGTGTAAGACGAACTGAACAATTAAAGGGGAGTTATGAGCCAGGGATTTAGCTCAGTGGTTCCGGCGCCTGCCTTGCAAGCACGAGGACCTGAGTTCGATCCCCAGTACCAAAAAAAAAGAGGAGTTATGCTTTAATTTTTTGAGAGGGGAGTGAGAAAGACCCAGACTGCTGCGATCCTGTGACACTACAGAATTCAACCCCGGCTGGTGTCAGCACGCAGGGTGATGGTATGAAGCAACCTGTAAGATGCTGTACCTATTTCTTTGCTATGATCTGGGCATCCAGGAAACCTCCTCTGTGGCTTCCAGGCATCTTTCCTTATTCCCCAACCCCCTCCTACTCCACTCTCCACAAAGCTGCCAGGAATGGCTTTAAGATACAAATCCTACGCAGGAGGATGGCAAGTTCAAGACTCAGCCTGGGCCACTTACTAAGACCCTGAGATCCTGTCTCAAAATTAAAAAGTAGCTCAGTGGTAGACCACCTGCGGAGCATGTACAAAGCCTGGGTTTAATCTCCAGTACCAGAATTTTAAAAAACAGATATAAATCTCACTATGTTAATTAGATTTCAGCAACTTCTCTCACACTTAGCATCCAGACCTCACAGCTGCTTATGAAGCCAGAGGCTCAGGCACCCCACTTCCTTAACTGCATCCTCCTCCTGCCTAACGCCTTGGCCGCCCCTGTCCTCACCCCACCCCAGCTGAGTCTCCCTACACACCCTGTTCCTCTCCCCATCTTCTCCCCAGCCCAGTTCTCAAGGTGATTCCTTCTTAGCTCTGCCTCTGAGCCATCTCCCCACGAGGGCTGCTCTCCCCCACATCAGAAGTCACCCTGGCCCTGCATACACCCCATGTCTTAGTTACTTTTCTCACTGCTAAGACAAAATACCCAACACCCAAAGTAAAGGAGGGAAGGTTTATGTAGCGCAGTCTGTGGAGGTTTCAGCTTGGAGTTGGCTGCCTCCAAGGCAGGGTGGATGGCAGAGGGGTATGCAGAGGAGAAACAGTCCACAGCAAGCAGGCGGGCAAGGCAGGCGAGGGGAAGCAAGGGGCCTTAGCAGCTTCTTTCTGCCCCTTTTATACTCTCTCTGGACCACCTGCATTGGGGCGGCACCCACCCAATCAGTGGACTGATTCAGTAACACACACCCTTAATCACACAACACACACTGTAGATCCAGCCACCTCTGAAAAAGCCCCACCTGTGAGCGCGTGAGGCTTTGGGGGACATCTGGACACAGCCATAGCACCCTAACACTTCCCCAAGCCCTAACTTGCTACTGTCCAACTCCTCCTGTTGGTGACAGTGCCCCATGAGTGCCAGGCCTCGGTGGGCTGCTCCCCGCTGCAAGCCCACTCCTAGGAAGCACAGAGAAAGGACAGTCCATTCAGAGTCATCGGCAGGGGTCCATCCTCACCACTGCTCCAGAAAAGAAGCCACCATCGCAGGCCTCACCGAGGAGAGGCTGTGTGAAGAGGGACAGGGGACTCAGACGGCACAGAAGGAGGTGAGAAGATGCTGATGGGACACTGCCAGTCGCCTGCTGAGGAGCAGTGGCCAAGAACCAGTAGCTGATCACTTCTGTGTGTGTGATACTGGGCCTTGAACCCAGGAATGCTCTTTTTATTATTTTACTTTAAGACAAGTTCTCACTAAATTGCCTAGGCTGAGCTTGAACTTTCCATCCTCCTGCCTCAGCCTCCCAAGTAGCTGGGATCACAGGTGTGCGCCACCAGCCCCGGCAGAATACGTGAGAGAGATGAAGAGGAGGTGTGGCGACATCCAGAGAGAAATCAGAGAAGTGCCATGTTCCTTCCCTTGAACCGTGCAGCCTGAAGGTGGTCAGCACTTTTCCACACCAGAAGGCTCGCTATGTCCGAGTGAAAGCGAAATTCAAGATCTGAGTAGGGCAAGGAAGCCAGCTGTAATTTACAAAGCTAAAGCTACGATCCAATCAGCAAAGCAACCTGATGTTGAAATCCAGCTACAAGGACAACTCCGAGACATAGCAGGTCGCCATTCACTGCCACACGCCCAGTGACAAATGTCCCCACATTGCGCCGTGTCCCTCAGTCCGTACGCTCCAGGGGAACAGTGCACACGGCTTCTGCCGCAGCTCCACCTCACGTTCACTTACCTTTTTATGGCTGTGCGGAGCAGGCATCAAACCAGGGTCTTTCATGTGCTAAGCAAGCATGTTACCACTAACACCACCAGCCCTCGTTTCTTATTTTAAAAAAATAATGCCGAAGCTGAGCGTTGTAGTGCAGGCCTATGGTCCCAGCACTTGGGAGGCTGAGGCAGGAGGATCAATGAAAGTTCAAGGCCAGCCAGGGCTACTACACAGTGAGACTCTGTCTCAGAGAGCAAACAAACAAATAAATAAATAAATGCCTGGCTGGGTGTAGCTCAGTGGTAGAGCACTCACCTAGCATGTACCAGGCCCTCAGTTCAATTCCTGGAACCACTTTGAAAATGTAGACAGAAGTCAGTTGTGTTTGACAAGAATAAAGTAAAATTTTTAAATCATGGATTCAAACATGTATGGGATACATTAAGCGCTCAAACCTCCTGCTTTGCCCCAATTACAAATATAGGGGAACAAATTAAATAGTAGAAGAGGCAAACTAGAATAAAGTGGAGGAAGCTAGCACCCAACCCTTCTGAGACAAACCATCTACTCTGCCTCGTTACTGGGGCTTTCATGGTGCTGGGGTTGGAACCCAGGGCCTCACGCAGGCTAGGCAAGCGATTTACCATGGAGCTACACCCCAGCCTACCTCTTCTGTAACTTAGGTAGAGGCTCTGACGAGGACAAATGCCTTGTGCTCATCTCTACTACTTCTCTTTTCCATTTTTTTATCTTTTATTGAATAAATCTCCATCCACAGGAACTTACAATCTAGATTAAAAATGTTTTAATTCATACGAACATGTACTGCACATAGTATGTTAAACTGTTAGGAAAGACACAAAGGTTTTGTTCCAGAAATCTTGGAAAGAAATACACGGAGACACAGAATGTGGGTAAAATAATAAAATTTCTACTCGCTAGCAGGCGGGACTGCCAGAAATGGTCTGGTTAGTCTCTCAGCAGTCTGGTTAGTCTCCGAGCACTCCTTTGTTCAGCGTTTCCCTTTTTATATCCTTTTTAGCCCTTATCTCATCCCTAGTGGTCTTTGATGTGTAAATACAATTCCAGTTCCTATTTACAAGTCACAGACACAAGATAGGCACATATACATTGTAAATTCACCCTGCCATTGCAACTTTGTTAGGTTAATGAAGACACTGGTTAAAGAGCCAGATTATCATAACCTTAAACAATGAGAGTTACAGGAAAAGCAAATCTTAAAGGAACACCTTACTTATTTTGCTTCTACAACTACCTTAATATTCAATCTACTAAGTTATCGAAAACTTTTCCCTATCAGTTTATAGAATTAACCTTTAGCACATTGAACACCTCTTAATTTTGTCTAGTTTATTTCATAAGTCACCCTATTTGCTTCCAGTTGAACTACTTTACCTCAGAAATTGCCTTTTTTTTTTTTTTTTTTTTTGAGACAAGATCTTGCTATGTAGTTCAGGCTGGTCTTGAACTTACTTTGTAGCCCAGGCTGGCTTTGTACTCATGGAGATCCTCCTGCCTCAGCCTCCTGAGTGCTGGGATTACAGGTGTGCACTACCACTCTTGGCCTAAAGTTGTAATTATATCCAGGAAGGATGCTGCATACTGGTTTATCTTATGGTCAGTTTGAGGGACATGGTTTTTTTTATTCACACATACATAGCAAATGTAAATGCTTGTTCAAAAAAATGATGCTGAAGAAGATGACAGCACTATTAGTCAAGAGGAGGAAATTGAAAACCTAAAGCAGAGGAGGATGAAATTTTTAACACATCACCAAGAAACAGAAAGCCTCAAAGAGAGTGAAACAGTCTCAAGCATTTGATCTGTGATTTCTTCTCCCTCCCCTTCCCTTGCAAGTGTGGTCCTCAGCAAGGACCCAGCCTACCTTGGGCTGAAACTCAGAAACCTCAGGCGTCACCATGGACAGGCTCCAGCTGACACCTTAAACATCCAGCAGGGAATAAGTGCAGCTGTGACATGAAGAAAGGACCTTGTTTCTGTAGAGGAGAAAACATTTAACACAATGGTTGTGAAATGTAACATGAAGCAACTCACTGGTATATGTTTTGTTTGGTTTGGTTTTGAAACACCTTTTTAAATTAGAATCATGACACCTTGTCAGTTAAAATTTTGGTTTAGTGTATTTAGTCTGTCCATGCAGATATAACACCAACATTTAGAAATACTAGGGGAACGAATTTCAGTTTTTAAAACAATTTTTTAAAGTTTGGTATTTAAAAACATTCATATGTCAAAAAAAAAATGTAAATGTTTGTTGGCTTCGCTGGGGAAAATAATTTCAAATGTTGGAGTGGTGCTGAGGTCCTTAAACCCTGAGACAACAGCACTTTTTCCTCCCAGGGAGCCCCCTGAACATTATCACCTTCCCTGAACATTAGCAAGCTTATAACATGGTAAAATGATTTTCAAAGAAAATTTTACAGTTTTAAATACATTCGTTAGAAATTAAGAAAGATGGAGAATAAGTGAATTAACTAGCCAATTCGAAAAGCTAAAAAAGATGAGAAAAGATACCACTTAATTAGAAAAAAATGGAAGGTAGAAAACCAAATATCAAAAAAACAGTTAATAAAATAATCAAGGTTAGTCTTTTAAGAAAAAAGAAAAGAATAAAAATTATAAGTGAGAAGGGAGCACAGACTATTTTCAAAATTAGGAGAGTACATTTTCATTATGGAAGTCAAAAGGATCTACTTGTGACTGAGGATAGGATCTACTTAACCAAAAGGCAATCTTCAAAACCTTGAGAAAACATTGGCAGATTTGACTACACACACACACACACACACACGCACACGCACAAAGTTAAAATGTCTGCAATATGACTGAATAGACAAACTAACAAGTGAACTAGAAAAAAAGTTTTACACATGTAAGAGTTAAAAAACTGTAATTTCCAAGAATTGTTATAAACCAAGAAAAAAAATCACATATACAACTAAATTTATTTAATTAAAAAAAATTTTTTTTGTACCAGGGATCGAACTCAGGACCTTGCACTTGTGAGGCAGGCGCCAAAACCACTGAGCTAAATCCCTGGCCCTACACAACTAAATTTATTAATTTACTTATTTTGTGGTGTTTGGGATCAAACCCAGGGCCTCACACATTCTAGGCACTGAGCTACACCCCTAACCCCACAACCAAAGTTTTAAAAGCACAAAAGGTATGGACAGTTAATTCTTATAAAAAGGAGCAGTAAACATTTGAAAGAATGCTCAACCTTACTACTAATAGTAATCAGGAAAGTTTAAAACAGTAAGACATCATATTGTACCCCCAAATTCAGCAAAAATTATAAAATATGACCATATGCAGTTCTGGAAGGGCTGTGAGGAAAGTCACTTTACACAGTACTGATGGGAAATGGAAGTCAGTAGTAATTCACTGTGTGTTTTAAATTGTTAATGTTTATATGCTTTTGGATCAGTTATTCCACTTCCAGGAATCTTAATAGAAATTGGGTTTTTGTAGCCAGGCATGCTCGTGCATGCCTGTAATCCTAACACTCAGGAGGCTGAGGCAGAAGGATCGCCCTGAGTTCAAGGCCAACCTGAACTACATAGTGAGACCCTGTCTCAAAAAAAAAAAAAAAAAAACCTACAAAAAAAACCCTGGGTTTTTGTTTTTGTGGTGCAGGTCCAAAGTGCTTCCTAGGCATCCATTCTACCCGAGTGCCACCCCCATCCTCTGAAATCCTTGCACTTGTCCACAGACACTATGTATAAAGACACTCACTAAAGCTTTCTTAGTGAAAAAAGTTTAAAACTTTTTTTGGTTATTCTGTTTTGCTTTACGTTTTTGAGAAGGTCTCTTTATGCAGTACACCCTGGCCTTGAACTACTAGCCCAGGCTAGCTCCAACTCGCTTTCCTGCCTCAGGCTCCCCAGTAGCTAGGATTATAGGCGAGCACCACCATGCCCGGCTCCCGTCTTGTTTAAATAACTGCAAAATGTTATCTATTCATAACGTGTGCATGTGTGTGTGTGTGTCAGGGTCTCCCTTGTAGTTCAGGCTGGCCCTGAACTCACTATGTAGCCCAGGCTGGCCTCGAACTTGCAGTGATCCTCCTGCCTCAGCCTCTTGAGTGCTAGGATTACAGGCGTGAGCCACCATGCCCAGCTGATAACTTTGAATTAAGGAAAAGAAAAAGGAAAACAGAATAAAGAGGCACATTAAACTGTTACTCGTGTTTATCTTGGAGAAAGGAGCGGGAAGAGTAATAGTGAAAGATTTTTAATTTTCACTTTTTTTTTTAAAGGCAAGTATTATGAAATTATTTGTGCAACTAAAAATTTTAATACTAAAATTTACAAAAAATAAAAAATACAAAATATTCTTTTAAGAAAAATGAAATGGGCCCCTACTAAGTCTACTCTGCCAATTTCTCAATCACAATAAAAAGTAAAATAGGGTGGCACTGGTATTTCACCTGGTACTTTCCCAGTTCTCCTTCCTTTATAACATAATTAGGAATTACTTTAAAAGAATTCCGCCCTTCTTTATGGACTATTGCTGCCTTAAATTACATCTTCCAGACTGAGTTCAGAGCGCTACCGGCGGGAGAATTTCAGCAGAGCCCCAAACCGGCCAGGCCGCCAGCGGGGGGCTGACTTCTGTCCCTAACATCACAGCAGTTTGCAGCTGTCACGTTTCAAGGGATACTTAAACAAAATAAAACCTGTCACATATAAGCGCACAAATACAAAGCACTGTTTTGTCCTGGGGATGTGTTCGTGATGGGGACGAGGGAAATGTGCTTAGCGAAGGTCAAGTTCGAAAGAGCAGGGAGAAAGAGCCCAGCCGGGGACGCCCGACCGGCCGCGCACAGCGCCCCGCTCGGCAGCTCCAGGGCGCCCTTGGAGACCGAGGAAAGGAGGCTAGGGTGAGGCGGGAACACTAGACGCGGAGGAGCGGTGCGGGCCGACGTCGGCCAGGGCCCCGCGCAGGCGCCGCCATTTTGTCCCCAATCCCCTTCAGGCGCGCGGAGCGGTGCCGTAAGCTGTGACGCGGCCAACAGGGAGATGGTGTGGGCATGGGAGCACCATCCGCCAGCAGCAGCGCTAAGGACTAAATGGCTGCGATGCCGGGGTGCGGGGAGCCGCGGGCGGTACCGACGCCGAGAATTCGTCCCGGCGCCGGAAGGACAAAGGACACGTAGGGGACGAGGGCCGCCGAGCCGGCGCGAGGCGACTTCCGGGCCAGGACCGGGCTGGGGGCGCGCGGGGGCCACATCGGGCCCGCCCCGCAGGACAAAGCAGCGGCGGCGCGCAGCGCGCTCCCGGCCCTGACGTGAGCGCGCGCAGGGGCGACGGTTAATAATGGCGGTTAGGGCGGGTCGGGGGGGGGGCTGAAGCGCGAAGAGGCTCAGACTCTACGTGTCAGGGCCCGCCTTCGTCCTCGCCCTGCCCGCCCTACCCGCCTGGAATCTGTCAGCCCTGGGTGTTTCTCCTGCCTGCCTTCTCCAAGGTTCCTGGTCCTACGGTCTGGTTGCGGGCTGGGTAGACCGTGACGAGTTCGAGTGAACAAAGGAGGTGGCCGCCGAGGCACTGCCGCTACCGCTGCAGAGCCTCGGGAACATTCCCTAAAATGGCGGCCGGCACACGGGGGTGGCCGGGCCGGGGGCGGGGCTGGCGCAGCTTCCGCCCGGCGGCCGGGTGGACGCTGCGGGCGCGGGAATTGCGGACTTATGGTCATGGCCGCCGCGCCGGAGCCCGGCGAACCCGGGAAGAGGAAGGTAACCCGGAGGGGTGCGCGCGGCGGGTGAGGGGGGCGCGCGGGGACACGGGCTGGGCTCCTAGCCCAGCGCACGTGTCTGGTTTCGCCGCCGCCGTGGGCTTGAAGCCACTAGAGCACTTGAGTCCTTGTCCTTCCTTCCCTGACATTTGTATAGAAATTGCCAGTACAGATTGTCGGGAACTAGGGGAGGAAGGGACCCGCACAATTAATGACTTAGCTGCGGGCCGTTATGAAACAGCTCGCATTAGTGAATCCTGTGATCAATTCTGCAGACAGGGGCACTGCACTGTATTGTGCTAGAAAAGGTTCCGAGGACAGGTCCCTGGTTTTTAATGCACGCTACTTTTAAACAGAGGGAGTATTAGTAGATGCCAGGGAATGAAAGGTTTGTTATATTCCGATGAGTTTTTGGCCACAGCAGATTAAATGAAATGGTGAAGCTGGGTGTAATGGTGCATGCCTTATATCCCAGCACTCTAGGAGGCTGAGACTGGAGGATCCCAAGTTCAGAGGAGTTGAAGGGAGGGGAGAGGAATGGGGGGGAAAAAAATCAAGCTATATCATATGCAGGTATACATTACATATGATGAATGTTATGTGTCTAAAATGTGCCAATAAGGTTAATTTAGAGGAGGATCTGTAGTACCGCAAGAGAACAAGTTTTCTGAGTCTAAATCAGAGAAGTAGGAGTGTGCGACACTGCACAAGCAACAGCCTGCCTCAGCTGTTAGCCCTGTCTTGGGCCTTCTTCTCCTCAGTTCGTCTTCTGCTATCCTGGGTGCACTTTCCATCCTGCAGTCGGGGCAGGGAACAAAGCCCAGTTGTTGATGCAGTGGTTAAAAGCAGCTCTCCCCGCTACAGTGACCCCCCAGAGCCGAAGGAGGGGTTTCTTTCCCCATCTCCTGTGCAACCCATGTTACTCCACAGTTACACTGTAGCATAATTGGAAGGTAGTAACTATAGTCCACTCTTCCTGGGTGTTCAGAAAATAGTAAATAATACTAACATGACCTGTCCTGAGCAGAGTGTGAAGGCACTCTGTGTGCTCCACGTTACCCCATTTTGGGGGGTGGTCTACTCTGCTCCAAAGGTTTGCTAACTTCTTGCTCTTCTCTGGAGATTTCTAAATTTGGCGAGGGCATCAGATCTTCCTATTAGCCATAAATAAATGTTGGATAGAATTATTTTGCAGCTCAAAAAAAACAAAAACAAAAAAATTATTTTGCATTTAATGCCACTACAGGTTTTGGTATTGTTTTTACTGTCATATACCATTTGTAATAGTGTTTAAAAAAAAAAGTTTTGTTTTTTTGAAACTTGCACCACAACTGCAAACACTAAATTCTAGATCTGGATATGGGATCTTGGACTTTTATCCTTTATGTGACTGTCCAAAATTTTTAATCCATTAGAAACAAATTAAAGGAAAAAATTAATCATTACAGACCTGTTTGATGCATCGTAGCAAGCAAAACAGTACTGTAGTCAGTGAAATGCAGGGTGGCTACAAGCCTAAAAACAGCACTACCACGTTGGGAGGAGGGTTTTTTTAAAGGACCTGTTACAAACAGGTTGCTCATAAAAAAAAAAAAAAACTTGCATAGCAGAGATAATAAATTTAATGTAACATAAGCTGTGTTTAACAGATCGGGCTAGTGTCAGAAAAGGAAACCAGAGTTCTTTTAAAGAGGACAAGTGAACATTCCAGGAGAGGGTAGTTTGAACAAGTTAGACAGCCCTTAAAAACTCAGCCGAGTATGGTGGTTTTCTCTGTAATCCCAGCACTCAGGAGACTGAGGCAGAATTTTGAGACCAGCCTGAGGTACACAGTGAAACCCTGTGTCAACAAACCCTTGTTTCACCTGCCCTCATTCTTGTTCTTTGACAAACTTTGAAGTAACTTAGTACATAAAGGTAAATTCACATTCCAGCGAATTCCATATTCATTACTCATTCAAAAAACTGTAGGCATTTAACTAGGTACTAGGGAATAGGCTTGATTTAAACAAGCAAAATCATAGTCCTTAATAGACCCCACATTCTCCTTGGGGAATTGTACAGTAAGAATTCCGTTTACTGAGCCAGCCTCACAAAGTCCAGGAGCAGAGCAGCCTTGCTAGGCAGTGACCACCACGTTTGTTAGGACTGAGGCGCCAGTGGCCGGATGTGGAGCACGTGAAGAGGCAGAGCCTGCCCCAGTGGGGCCTGCGGAGCTGTGCTTAAGGAAAGCAAAGCATTGTATACATTTCTAGGACTGCAGTGAAGATCTGGACGCTGTTAGCAGATGGCAGTTTGGTAGTAGGAACAATAAAGTTGAGAAAGTGGTTTAGCTTAGGATGTTTTGATCCTTCCACACCTGCTCATACACAGCGTGGATGTGATAGGGATCAAGAATAGCTCTGAAAGCTTCCTAGGCTGTTGAGATGCCCTTACAGAAAGGTTTGGAGCTGAAAAGTAATTGTTTTTGAAGTTCAGCAGGCAGATGGATGAGACTGAAGCTTGGGAGATTAGAACAGTGGTGGCGAGCCTGTGGCACCCGTGCTGCAGCTGGCTGTTGAAAGCTCTAGGGTTTGCCATCACTGACTAGGGTTTTGGAGTTTGACTCACCGATTTGAGTCACCATCATAAATGACATTTAACTAAAAGCCTTGAGATACCTAGGAAGATTCCATTCCGGAGAAAGGGCAGTGGAACATACAAGGTCTGCAGAGGACAGCAGCAAAGCTGCTGCGAGAGCTGGTGGCAGAACCAGCAGACACTGCTGTATTTTACACCAAGTAAATGATTCAACACAGTATTTCACCAGCATGAGATGGCTTTTTGCAAAGGGGGTGTCTCCCCCAGCCCTTGACAGTGGTATTTCCCTGCACTGCAGTGGACAAATACCTCCCCGAAGGCAGTTAAAACTAGAATGAGGGGTAAGCAGAGCATAGGCAGATGGGATAGCATTGTGGGTGGGGCTCTAGCCAAATCGAACTGGGAGGAAGACTGCTCAAAGTGGTCGGGGAAGACCAGCTCTAAAGGTAATCCAGGTCACCCTTTGATACAAGATTTAAATGGCCCTAATTTGATGTGGAAATTCTTGAACTCTCCTGAGTTCAAAGTGAGCTGGTAGTTTTCCTGCATCTAGTAAGAATTCCTTCACCTCTAAAGGGTTAAATTTGTCAGTGACAAGTTTGCAAGCTACTTAAGGGAATAAATGAGAAATGTTAAATGCATGTATTAAAAAAGTACTTTAGTGAAGTGGAATTCTTCAAGCAATTTTTGTTTCTTGACCCCTTTTTTCTAAATCACTGTAAATGCTGAAGGCTGGTTCACAGGAGGTTACCAGGAGTATTGTGGCTTCAAATCTCTGTACATCCTTCCCCAATTTTTTTTCCCCAAAGATCTTAATACCCAGTGCAGATTCTCACTAGATGTGTAATTTTTGGGAACAGCTCCTCCCTGAACCTTGATTTAAGAGTTGAGCAATACATTTTGATAGAACAGCACAGGCATTTGGTGTCAGATATCCATCTCCTTTTGGTACTGTTTCAACCTTTTACTGAAAGTCCAAGCCTGGTTAGGAATATCAAGAGGCTGTGAAATTAAGGGCTTCACTAGACCAAAGTTTCTCAAGCATATGATACTTACTAGACCAAGCATATGATACTTACTAGACCAGACAGTTGTTTGGGGGGTGGGACTGATTGGCTATATATGCAGGACGTTAAGCAGTGAGGACTCTGTTTAAGGCTTAAATACATGTTTTCAAGCCAATTGTTATTCATACCTGGAAGTCTCTGAAGATATTATTAACAGTGAGACTTGAAAATCTTTCTGGAAAGTTCAAAGTCCCTATGTACTTGCTAGCTCTGGCCTATTTCAGTGTGCTTGATATAAAATAGCATGGGTAACATTTACACTGTCTGGAGACTACAGTGTATCCTGGAACCATGCTCCATCCCTATCATGGAAGGGAATCCAAATGAAAGCAGCATTTATGGTAAAGCTGCTTAGTTGCATCTAAGACCTGGTAGAACGAGTGCCGAGAAGCATATTCCCAGGTCTCAGGCCTGGTATCCAACCCTAGGGAAGTGGGCTGGTTTGAAGGTGATGGCATTCACTGGTCCTGGCTGGAGCACAGTCCAGCATTCAGAGCAGTTTCCCCTGAACACATTACTCCTGAGCTTTTTGAGCTAAGAAAGTACCCCCAGCCTTTTGATTATGTTCAGATCTACACTGCACTACAGAGCTTTTAAAGCCTGCAAGTAGAACACGTGCCTTCTGGGTTATTAGTGATGCAATCCTGTGTGGGGACAGGGGAACGGGAAAGGCAAAAGGAAAAAAATGAAACAGTTCAAGAGTGTAATTTTTACTTTAATATGAAATAAGTCACATTTTGTCTTTACCAGCAGATGCTTAAGTCAAAGAAGCAAACATGGGTGATACACAATAGAATAATCTTCATGCCTCAACCTTCACTATGGCTTGCCTTTCAGTCCTTTGTACTGTGTACTTTTCCCTCCTAGGTTCGCTGCCTCACACTATACCAATGTATTTTTTTAAAGCAGTAGTGGAAGACTTTACATTTAACCAGCATCATTTAAGTTTTTTGAATGTTTTTAACACTGCTGGAGATCAAATCCAGGACCTTCCACATAATAGAGAAGTGCTCTCTCCCACTGAGACACACAACCCAGGCCCTGTAGGCCTTTGACAGAAATGTCATAGTCAAGCCTGCATGGTGGTGTGTGCACCTGTGATCCCAGAACTCAGGAAGCTGAGGTAGAGTGATTGGATAGCGAGATTCTGTCCCACAAAACAAATTTCTGCCAGTCACAGATAGGTCTATGGGACTGACAAGACATCTGGTTGAACACAATGGAGAAAATAAAATACAATAAAGATAATTCACTGTAGCACTTGGAGAAACTCAATCCCCCTTCATTGTAGATTGAGGCAGTGCTGACACAAAAATTCAGTCAGGATTTACCTAGCTGTGGGTTCCATATAATATCAATCAGATTAATAATCTGCAACTTCATGTGACAGGCAAGGAAATTGGGACCAGAGAAATACATTACCCGTGTTCATGTTAATGTAAAAGGTTATAACCGGTGCTATTCATCTAAACACCAATAAACCTGAAAATAAAATGTTTTAGGAATTCTTAACACCGTTTAACTACTACAAGCAAACATGGCTCAAGTAACTTTTCTCATTTACACTTCTCAAAGAAATGAAAGTTGTTGATTCCCAAAAAATCAGCTGATTAACAAGTTATGTCAGAATGTAGAGTTTTATTACTGCTTCAGGCTTTCTGGACAAATTTTCAATGTTTCTAATTTTATAGGTTCAACTGTATTTAACAGAATAATCAAATACAGTATTAACTGATCCAGGGTTGTTGACTGGCTCTATTCTAGTTTATCCCTTCAAATACAGTAAACTGTTTGCACTGTGATGTTTGCTAATTATTCTGAACTAAAATATTCTTGTTCAATCTAGGTTCTTTTTTTTTTAATCTAGCCCTTTAAGCTCCTAGGAATTTTGGATGTTGAAAACATTCCCTGTGCACGGGATTCGGTATTGTATGGTTCATTAGGATCTGTTGTGGCTGGACTTGGACACTTTTTGTTAACTAGTGAGTATCTATGTTTATATCTCTATGCAAAATCCTTTTTCTCTGTGGAAAACAATTTTTCTAGGTGGGGTAATGATCTTATGGAACTATAGTCTAATAATTACAGTGGTTATGCTTATTCCTAACAGGCAGAATTAGAAGATCATGTGATGTTGGTGTAGGAGGATTTATCGTGGTGACTTTAGGATGTTGGTATGTTTGCCATCTATTCCAGAAAACCCAAGATCACAGTAGGATGTCTATCTCAAAAGCATGTGTTCTTTCCCCAAAAATCTCATTGGGAAATCCACCTTCTGAAAATCTTATTTTTTAAAGGCTTTTTAATGGAAATCCATCTTACAAAGCAATGTTGATGGAATGAATGCCTTTGCCTTTAATAGCCACATATTATACTATTTGTTGAATGCTTGAACAGATAAACAGTTCATAATGGAATGTTTGTCATTTGTTAATCTTCTTTGAATTATTTCATCCCTGTTTGTTCTATTGATGATTAATGTAAAACAATTTAAAACTAAGGTGACAAATCCTCATTTTATGTAAGTATGATTTTGTTCATAGGTATTGTGACACCAAAACAGTACTCTATTAGAACATTTGTAATTTAGTCTTCAGATCTTCATCTGTAAGCATTTAAAAATTGTGATTATAAAGAATAGCTAAATTTTATAAATTTCTATAGAACTTTATATATATTAACAATTTATATTATAAGGTTCCACTGCAGGTATAATTATGCAAAGCAAAGAATCCAGCAAAGAATTGCCAGAGAAGGAATAAAAAATAAGATTTTGTATGAAAGCACCCACCTTGATCCTGAAAGAAAACAAACCAACAGCAGCAACTGAGCAACCTGAACATGGAAAATGGAATTCTTGAAGTCAGTGTGAACAATGTTGGAACTACACAGAGCATTTTATACATACAAAAAAAGTATGTTTCAACCATAGTCTGTCTTTTTCATACTCGTAGGAAAACTTGCCAACTCATTGTGACCCTTTACTGTCAGCTCAGCATTCCTGTGTTGGAACAGACCTGTCATGCATGCTTAAAATATTAGAATTTACTGACAGCGTGATTAAGAATTCTAAAACCTAGTGGGAAAAGTTTCTTTGCAATAAAAGCAATGAGTTTAAAATTGAGATTTCAAGAAACTATCCCAACTGTATTAACTTGCCTTAAAAACAAAATCACCACCTTACGTTTTCAGTTGAGTCTTAATGTTTTTTGAAGTATGCAACATTTTAAGTGAATTCAGTTAAAAGTATGCACAGTATGTTTTGATATGAAAATGTTTGGTCAAAATTACACATATTGTGTTACCTTAATGTAAATCAGACAAGTCAATCTCCTGCAATTTTAAAAAGAATAAAGGCACTCAATATTAACCCAACACAAATCCCTAGTATTAACTCATCCAGGAGAAATCTTCCTATTGGTTTTAGTAAACATTTCTTTTTAAAGAAAACCTGTGGCCTGCACCTACAGTCCTGGTTAGGCTGAATCAAGAGGATCGCCTGGGTCCAGGAGCTCAAGGAGAGCAACAGACCTCCTTAAAGTAGATGCTCAATATGGCAAGGGAATAAGACACAAGCTCTCAGCCACTGGTCCCTTCAATTTGGTGTTTCATAGGAAGAGACCTATTACCTTGTTTTGCATACCTTCTCAAAATCAAAGGAAAAGGGCTTGGTTCAGTTCCTTTCACCAGAGGCATTTTGTGACTGTCACTGTGAGGGTTAGGGTAAAAGGCCATGTGGTTTACCAAATGCCACAACTCCCAATGCATGTTGCCAAACACACGTTCTAACAAAAGTTTTACTGATTCTGCTTTGGTAGCCACCAAACAGAGGACTTGGACTTGAATACTGATTTACTGGAAAGGAAAATGCAATTACAAAATCTGCCAACTCTTACTGGCACAGACCAACATGTAACTGGTCATGATTAAATACATGGAAGTTTTGCCAGCTGTGGTGCTGCAGCCTGTAATCCCAGCACTCGGGAAGCTGGAGCAGGATTGCTGCAAATTGGAGGCCAGCCTGCACTAGAGTGAGACCCTGTTCTCAAAAAACATGAAGTTTTTAAGAGGCAGCACTGCTTGACTAGGGAAGAATAATAAGCATTAATCAAATCATCTGACATTTTAACAAGCTATGTAGACAAGACACAACTTAGTTTACTAACACATATAACATGTAAAACCAGGCAACTGCATTGTCTTCTAGCTCTACCACACCACAATTACATCTTACCCTGAGTAATCAAAGAAACCTCTCAGCTGGTAAAAATTTCCAATGCCTTCATCATTTAACAAGGTTAGTTCATTTTCACAGCAGAATGCACAAACTGAAGACCTGGGCAAAACAAAGTTACAGTGTACTTTAGTTGGACTGCATTACAAATGTCACTACATGCACGTCAGTTTTCTCCTGAACATCTTCACATTATTCCCAAGTGGTCTTGCCGCTTCCAGTCTACTTTCCTATTTTCATCCTGCCACTCAACTGCAAATCTTAGCTATGAGAGGTTTTGCCAAACTTCCCAGTACATTGTCATCTTTCCACTGGAAAATCCATGACTCCACTCAAACTCCTCACTCCACTTGTAATGCTTCTCATCCACCTCCATAAACTTCCGTCCTTTAGTTTCTCACACTGTCTTGGGCTTTAGCTCTTAACATTGGTTGGCACTTTTGCTGGCCAGCTTAGTATCTGCTACATGTGTAGCCTTTTCCCTTTGCGCTATACTGGGGACAGAGCCCAGGCCCTTGGTGCTGAGCTACATCCCTACTCCACCCCTTCTTTCAAACAAGGTCTCGCTTTTCACCACACTGGGCTTGAATTTAAAATCCTCCCTAAGCATTCCAGAGTACTGGGATCACAGGCACCACCACGGCCAGCCTAGCCTAAATTTCTAGCTGCTAAGAACCTAGTCCACTTTCACTTTTATATTCCAAAAGATGCCGATAAAGGTAGTCAATAAACAGACTGAATTATTAAATGCTAACAAACAGGATCCAAAATTGCCCCTCATCCCACTCTGAACTGTAAATTTTAAACTGTAAGAGTAACATACCTTCCATATTCCCTTGGAAGCCTCCAGCACACTGCCTCCTTCATTGTTCCATTAATTCCGAAATCTCACACTAGGTGATATAGCAGTAGGTACCAGCTAAGTAGCTGATTAAAATAGAATTGTAGTTGTTAGTTTTGAAAACTTCTGGCAGCTTTTCTACAATACCTACTTTCATAAATCTTCCTAGCACTTTATGCATTTTCCCCTTCCCTCACCCCTCCTTTTTTCTTGACTACTTGCTTTTCCATCTCAGTAAAAGGGACCTCAGGGTATTTAAATTAGAAGCTCTTTTCTGATTTGATTTATATTGACCAAGTTTGTCACAAGAATTCTTGACTGCACTAGAACCATTATTTGATTTGCAAGCATCTCTTTATTAGTCTACGTACCTCTAACTCCATCGCTGGTTTCCCTTTGCTTCGATTATATAATGCGAGGAGGTCTATATAATAAATTCAGGATTCCTGTTTATGCACTTTTCAGCAAAGAGGGATCAAACAGGGTTTGAATCCTCCTATTCCTAGATAAAAATCTGTGACGGGGTCAAGCCACCCCTTTAAAAGTCATGTTAAAGTAATACACTATCCTTTCGGTAAGCAGACCTTAGTGAGCAAAGTAGAAAAATCAAAACGATTGCTGTAATTCTTATTTGTAGCGGTTCTCTAGAATAAAATAAACTTTGGAAGCATCTTAAAATAATCCAGTAAATATCAAATCAGGTCAATATGCCAGTATCACTACCCAAATACTGGTATTTCCACACACCTTACTTTATACATTAAGAGCTTAAAATTGTTTTTTAAAAGGGAAACAGCTGGGACAAGAAAAATTTTATTATGAATATATTCTTCAAAGTATTGCATTTAAAGTTTATAATGTGAGCACTACAGATGTGTTTCAAATATTTAAGTGCTTTTCAACCATTCACTAGAATAAGGATGACATTACATTATTTTCATCTTAAGGCTACCACTGATTACATTAATAGACAAAGACTGCTTACTTCCAAAGAATGGATCAAGGCAATGGGTGGTACCTCTTCCACCTTTTTTCTAGGAATTAAATCCCATACATTGTAAACCACCCATGACAAGGGCAAGCCCTTAGTTGGTATCAAAATAATCTCTGTACATACAGCTTTTATAAAAGATTAGTTTCCATAGAAATGTTTCTTCCACTATACCATGAAGACAAGTGAAAAGGCATCCCTTATCACATAAATTCAGCTTATTTTTGAAACAAATTTTATTTTTCTAGTTGGGGCTTTTTGTAATGAACAGAAATGGTTATGAAACCTTGAGTTGCCTGCTCTTTAGAAGCCATGAGGGTTGCGCCTTCAGAGCCATTACGCATTAAGTGTTGCTACCTATACAGTTACACCTGCACCCAGGTCCTCTCATTTTATCTAAGCATTATTCTGGAGTATGTAGTAGGAAAAATTAATTTCCTCCGAGTGTTATCAAACTCAGATGTACACAGGTTACATGCTCCGGACTGGCATGACCAGACCTTACACCACAAACCTTCCCATTCTGTCAGTCAACGTGTCAAATTTACTTCCCAACTGACTTTACATTTTAATTACTTCATTATCCTAAAGGAGCGCAGTGTTTTCCAGATGTTCTAAAGCAGTTTGTGTATAAATGCAGAAATGTTGGGAAAACAAGGACAGAAAGTTATCTTAATCTTACTCATTGTTTTGCATTAGAACTAAAGTTTTTATTTAATCTCTAACGTTAGGGAGGATAGTCGATATTGTTTTTCATACACAGCTTTATGGAAGGACGTCCAACTGTAGAGAGGACACCAAGTACTCGGTGCAGGTATGCAAAGGGAAAATCAGAAAACTTGCTTTTCTCTTACAGAGAATCTGTCCATCTGGTTACCAATTACTTTTCCCCACATCTTTAAAAATAAGGAAGTTCTACTGAAGGTGATCTTAGAACCCTAACATAACAACTGTTAAATATACAATTAATTTGGAATACCTATTAGAATCACTGGAACACATTTAGTTGGGCCCTTTTACTCTTCCACACAGCACATTCACATGGACAGACTAAGGAAAAGGAGATGAAATTTAAATCAGCATATTTTTTGCTTTATTACTTTTCAAAGAAAAAAATAATGTTGGAAACTTTTGTTCTTGTACTTGTCCATAACTCTCCCTTAACAGCTCAAAAGCTGGTTGCCAAATAATCTGTAATCACTATTATCTTGTCAATGCTTTTGAAATATTTATAGCACATAAACTCGATGTCTATTAGCTATCTTTGTTCTTAGTGACTTAAGTTTTTTGACAGATACTACTGTAGCAAAGGTTTTGAGTGTTTACCAAGTACAACTAATTCTTTCTTCTTTAATATCATGGAACAGGCCTATCAAAGGAAAAAGCAGCAAAGAACATGCTACAAATAGTTCAGTATTTATCAACCAGATACTGCACTATGTTAGCGTTTCAGCCTGGAATCCCTGAATAACTTACAGTATTATACATTATCAAACTGAACATGCACATGAGTAGATTACGCACTGCCAAGCAATGACTATAATGGTGTAAAGAACTGAAATCTTTCTTGAAGAGATGTTTGCAGACTTGGTCTAGTAGTCCAGACTCACTAACCTCATCACTTTCTACTACTGTACAGCATTTTTCCCACTCAGATTCAGATTGAAAGCAAAACCCAGTGTTGTCAAGATGCAGGTTTAACAAATTTTCTAGGCTTACTCTCTTAGGCAAATAAAATTAAGTACACATTAAACAAATGTCTAAATTCTCTACCCTAAAAGCATAGTAATAAGTATCCAGAAGTTCCTCTATCCAGTCAATGACTGATAGACTGGCCTAACACTGGGTTTACAATCACAAGTGATTCCACAAAATACTTGGGTGTTGTATTTTCTGAATGCTAGGTAAACTTCGTGAATGTAATCCTTCCACCAATTTCTAACCTACCGTACCATACAAATGAAGTTGGAGGGAAACTATTCAATCATCTGTATTTTTAGTCAACTGGCAAGGATGAGAAAGTGTTAAGAACAAAATCTTTTACAACTACTTCCCAATTAAACTCTAGGTCCTACTGCATTGCAGATTTGATACTGATCTAGGTGTTGACACCAAATAAACTGGCATACACAAATACTTGGGATATTCCTACTTTTCAATGCTTTTCTACCCAAACGCACTCAAAAATTGCATACTACTTCGATTAATACTGTAGCTCATCTTCAGATATAAAACTGAAGATTAATAAGAAAAAGGTCCACTCCTATATACATGAGTTAGCTAGAAAAAGTACTTGTGTCTTACATGTACCCGTAGTGCGACTGCTAAGCAAAAAACAGGATGACTAAACTGCAAAACAACTTTACTGGCTAGATTTACCATCACTGTATCTCCATGAGTAGAGGAATGACAGCTATGGCCAAAAATCCCAAGCTGAAAAACATCCAGGGAACAGACTCTCCACACGAAGGGTACTGCAGTTTTACTGTTTTCAATAATTTTAGGCAACTGATTTCAGACATGTAATTACCATCACATCCAAATACAAAGTTTTTAAGAATTTTAGGAAAAATGGCTTTGAATAAAATATTGGGTTTACTTTTTACTAGGGGAAATGCACCTGAATGAGTATGGGGTGGGGGTTAGAGAAAACACTTCTCTCATAAAAGCTAATAAAAAAACATTTTAATTATGTGTGGAAATTATGGAAAGTTAAGTTTACTCTCATTTTTTAAATCAAATAATTCTCATAAATCTAAATTAATCTTTATGTCCAAATGTATGGCATTACCTAAAAAACTAAAATTATTTTTTTGCAGTGGAATGCATTATAGACATAATTCTAGAAAAAGCCAATTTGTTAATGAACAAGTTTATAGAAAAATGTCACTCAATTCCTGTAAACTGAGGAAATTTTAAATACAGAACAGAATCTGTCCATGAATATAAAATTCCCAGGTGAAAAATAATTCAAAATACTATCAACTATGTTTTCTAGAATAATTCTAAGAAAATTTAGATTGCTTCCTTTTGTTCATTGGACTCAACCTGGTCAAACTAACTCAAGCTCCATTTCAGATTTCAGAGCTTCATTCTGCTGCTTGGATATTACGGCTACAAACTGATGATCAGTCATCTTAGATCAGTCATCAGAGGCAAAGGCCAGTTGTGTGATGTGGCCCACCAGCAATAAAAGTTTTTGATAGCCATGGTTATTCCTTAGCTTTGTCTTCTTTCCTATTCATCTCTTTAGGCAAGTGCTGTACCACTGAGCTACAACTCTAGTCCCCTACCCCATTTTTGATTCAGCACGAAACCACTTTGAACCCAAAGCAATCTCTTAGTTTTCCCTAGCATCTGTTCAAAACTAAATGTTTCAGAATTTTTTTTTGCCATGGGGGTGAGGGGTGGCAGGCAGAGGGAAGGTATTAAAAAAAAAAAAAAAATCAAAACTCCTTCACAATAAATGTTCTACCAAAACTTGGCATTTCTTGAATTTTATCCATTTGGTGCAATTTTTTTTTTGGTACCAGGGATCGAACTTGGTTCCTTGTGCTTGCAAGGCAAGCGGCGGAACCACTGAGCTAAATCCCTGGCCCTGGTGCAATTTTTTTTGAGACAGGGTCTTGCTATGTCATTCAGGGTGGCCTTGAACTCACTAAGTAGCACAGGCTGGCCTCCAACTTGTGAGGATCCTCCTGCCTCAACCTCCCGAGTGCTGGAATTACAGGTGTGTGCCACCATGTCTGCCCCTTGTTTTTTTCTTGGTACTGGGGATCGAACTTGGGACCTTGCGCTTGTGAGGGAGGCGCCAGAACCACTGAGCTAAATCCCTGGCCCCCTTTTCTGAATGAGTACATTGTAAGATTCTTTCACAAGTGTAGACAGTATTATTAATAATCATGAGGTTGTTTAAAATTCTAACACGTTCAGGCAGCATTTATTCCATCACCCCATCTCCAAATTTTGGGGTGATGCAGGCATATTGGCCAAATAGTACTTGACACTTATTTTTCTGTTGCAATTGTGGCTATGAATTTGGTGCACAAATTTGAGCTGGAAGGTGTATCTAAGATTTTTATAAGGCACAAATGGAAACTGTATAGTACCTAAATGCTGATTAAGATGGGCAGGTATATACAATCCTAACATACTGAAAAGTAATTTATGCCAGGGGTTGTACCAAGTTAACTGCTAAAAAGACAAAAATCTACAGATGCTACCTTGTACTATTAAGAATATTTACGGTAATTAGCCTTTGTTTCGAAGTCAACTGAACCTACACCATCACCTACCTACCTATACCATCATCTACAATTCAACTCCAGCTTGTAGTAAGAAAATTCCTACAAGTAAAATCTGATTTTCAATGGCTAAGACAAAATTCTGAACAATCAAATACAACAAACCTGAACTTACCAGAAGCAACCTGAAAACAAAATACTAAACTGAAGTCAAATTTTAGTTCTACAGTTTGACTCCTGATCCCTCACTTCAGTGAGGATCCTTCAGAAGATTAAGTGTTCTGTGCAAACCCAATATAATTACAATTAGGGGATCTAATGTCATCACATAACTAGTTAAGTTAGCAGTGTTGTGTAGTAGTGAAATCAATGACTGGCTTGTATGATGGCTTCTAAAAGCATCTGTTCCCAGAGTTTCATGTATCATATATATGTATATAAAATTATCAGTTGAGGACAGCTGTCAGCATTTTGTAAAGATGATACAGTGAGCATTAACTTCTCCCAGCCAGTACACCTTTTCCCCTCATTAAATGTTATAAGCCGTCTGGGGGGGGAGGGGAAGGGAAGAATTCAACTTATAAATCAAGTGTCAATATACATTTAAGTTTTTAAAACCTAAATGTTCTAAGTACAGAGTAAAGAATAAGCTGTCCAGAAAGCACACACTTAAAATTTCTCCTCTTGGGAGTTGTATAAAGGGATTTTGAACCTTGATGGCGAGAATCCCAAAACAAGAGTAAAATGAATTCTTTTTATTGCAAACAAACGTCTAAATTAATTTCTCCACCCACTTTTTTTTTTTTTTAGAAAGAAAAAGGAAATCAGCAGGCTAAGGAGATACCCATTCAAGAACTGACATGATTAAAAATTAAGATATAAATGGGTGACTCACAATTTCATTAGCTTACAAAGATGGTGGAGTTAACTACTACAAGCACACTAGTTATACAGTATTTTGTGGGAGAAGGGCATACAGACATAGCTAACTTCATATAGATCCCATTAGACAACTGGATTTACAACAAGTTTTTTTAATAAGAAATGGGCAAAGCCAGCTTTCTTTTCAGAATCAAAATGCAGAACAAATGGAAAAATTATGGTATTTAACCTTCACAAGTTTGAGCCTCCACAAATAATGCAACCAAGGTTTTACATTTTTAACAGCCCTTCTACATACACTCCATCTTCTCCATCTCAGTTCAAGTTTTATCTTCAATCCCAATTATGCCAATTCCATTGTTATTCTGACAGAAAAAGCCTTCCCAGATTTTGTCAGATTACTACTTAGCTTACCCCCTCCACTACTATCCAAAAAACTAGAGAAGATGGAGTGTAATATGAGCAGTACAGAGTCTTACGCAATTCATGAGGACCACTTAGTCCTTCCATGAATCTGGTTGCTAACATTTCTATTATATTGTGACAATGACTCCCGACTGTTAATTCTCTGTGAGAAATGGGGGGAGTAAATTCTTAATAAAAGACACCAGGTACAAAGCAACATTTTACTTTTGTTGTGATAAAAAAAAAAGTCACATTTTACAGATAAAATGTAGAACCCTGAAATACTGACACATTCTCTTATCGTGCACAATGCTGAGGTTCTCTTACGATTCACTTTAAAACTGCAATTAAAAATGTACAAAAAAGAAAAGAAAAAAAATCAACCCACAAAGCTTCTAAAAAAGGAACCCGCAGGCACTTCCTCTTGTGGAATGTTTAAAAAGTTAGCCTACTAAAGAAAACAGTCGACTTCTTGTGAAGGTTTTGGAGAAATATGTATCAGTTCGTTTTATTTGGGTATTCAATAATATCCTTGGTGATAATGCTGACTCCATGGCTTCTGACCCCAGAATTGCTGTAAGAGAAAATTTTTTTTTTAAAGAAAAAAACATCAATAAGCCACTCAAATTGCTTTTAGGAAATGACAATGATCTAATTCACAGTAACTGCTGGAAATAAATTTATACTTGTCATACCTCTGATTTCTATCAAACCAGATTTTTTTAATAGCCCATTATTTATCAATACACTTTACAAAAGAAAACACGTGACTTGGTTAGTTTACACAATTAAAGCTAGCAGTAAAAAGAACAAGATGTATCACATATTTATTATGAAAATATTAACTTAGAACAATCTCCAACCTATTTATTGCTATAGATAAAACACAATCCACACCTTGCTCTATTCATATTTATAAACACTTCAATCCCTGGATAGGATCTTTTTCAAGACTCACTCTTGGAAAAACTCGAAATATAATTAATGTACATATAATCATATAAGGAATTACTTACACCCTGCTGCCACTGGTTGTAGCCCTGAGATTGATTTTTGTAGCCACGATTGTTTCCTCGTCCTCTAAAGTTCTATGAAAAGAAAAAGTCTTTTAAGAGCTCTGAACCCCAATGTTTACCATGCTTGTAGGGGTATGGGTGGGAGAGGGGCAGAAACAGACATATATTAGAGACACCAAGCTTGGGGGGCGATGCAGAAACCCTGGTAATTTTCTGTTTCTCAGTGATCTCAATTTTTTATACATTAGAAACCCACCTTAATTGTTGCTGGTTAGTACACCTGCAAAGCAAATGGACTCATCTGCCATTACTAGGTTTGTTTTCTGTTTGTTAACACATATGCTCTTTGTTACTGAGAATCTTCAACATTAGCCTACCACCTCCCAGGTGAATTACAGATTACCAGCCCCTCAAGCCACCTCCGATCATTACCTGGTTATAGTTCCCTCTGTTAGGCATTCCACCTCTGTTGTAGTTCCCTCTGTTTGAATAGCCACCTCGGCCAGGAAAAACAGGGCCACGAGGGTATGGATAACCAATTCCACCACTCCCACCACCGCCACCACCTCTCTGAGGCATATTGCCCCTCCTATTATATCCACCACGGTTACCAGGAGCTGAAAATGAAAAACAAGGAATAATTAGTTTAATTGTATTGTACCTACTTACACAGAATTTGTGGTTCTTTCCAGACCATACCTAATTTTTTTTATTGAAAAAATGTTGAACAAAAGTAATGTTTCACTTGAACCACTCACAAACCCAAGTATGTTTAGAATTAAATAACATCAAGATCTGAAACTTGCCTCCTCCTCTGAAGTTTCCACCTCGCATATTGAATCCTCCACGTCCTCTATGGCCGCCACCTCTGTTAAACTGGTTTTTGCCACTCTTATTTTTATTGCTCTTCTTTGAGCCAGTATTCTGCTTCTTTTCTGGTGGAAGTGCTTTTTTGCTTTCTTCCTTATATTGCTCCAAAAGTTTTTGGGCTTCTTCCTTCTGGAGTTCAACATAGGTTATTTCATCAAAGCACTCGGCCACTTCTGGCAGTGTAAAGTTTCCTGCAAGGAAAAAAGTCGAACTAAACTTAAGAAACTTACAAGTATCTACACTCCTAAAACTTCCCAATTCCTGAAAATGGCTCTAGTACTTTCAACAGGTTATAATATCTAACTAAACAAGGCCTAATGACATTTTCCCAAAAAACAGAATGAGCCAAACACATTTACATGTGCCAAGAGTTAATGTAACTCCCCAGTCTTGCTATTAAAACTGTTCACTTTTAACATAGAAATCAGAGATATAAGATAATGAAAATAAATTCCATACCTTTCATTTTTAGGACTGCATGTTCTGGCAGGTCTTTCCCCTCTACTTCTGCTTTCTTTTGTGTTCTCTGTTTATAGTCCTCATCTTTTGGGCAAACTACCACAGCTTTTCGCTGGAAGCCTGCAAACAGGCACATTTTTCTTCTCTGGGCAGCAGCTGACACATTGGTCTTGGGAAAAAAATTGAAGTTTATTTGTAAACATTCCATTTCCAAATTAATTTTCTTTTTCT